CTTTTTGTCAGTGACTTCAGGCTTCTCCTCAGTAATCCATTTCTGAATGACATCTGCTGAAGGTGTTCTTTTCAGTTTATCAGTAAGATAATTCAGAAGAGAGTTAGCAGAATTTACTGTTAAGATATGCAGTGTGTTCTCAATTAAATAATCATTTAGATAGATAAAGCTTGAAAAGAAAAGTAAATATTGTTTCAGTTCTCTATAATCACAATATATTTTTGATCGTGACTCTAAAGCAAGTATTTAAATTTTAAAATATAATTTCTCCTTGAGTTGTGACCTAATTATATTATAACATCAGAGATTTATTGTCCAGAAGAGTTTTTCTTAGACATTCTTCCATTTAGAACACAATTATATTCAAATATGCAACATCAGTTTTTAGCTAGGTGTTCTAACTCTTCATAGTCTATTTAATGAGCAATATAGCTATTAAGGAAAATGCACGTAGCTCATCTAGCCAAAGGGCTATATGATTTTTTAAGTGTTTTAAAGAAAAACTTAATGTATACAACAACTGTTACATTTAGAATAACTTTTTAGTTTGCTTAAATGGAGCTTTAGGGTTTCTTGTATCTCTAGGACCTGATGGTGACCTTTGAGACAGCTTCACTGACTTTCATTGATGCAGACATTTTCATATATAAAAGAGTACACAATTAAGGTACATTAAATAAGTGGTTTCAATTGTTAGATTAAGTTAGTGAACACCAAATAGTAATAATCAATGCTTTATAGTTTCACAATTTTTCAGATAATCTTCGGTGATTTTATTTGTAAGAGTTATTTGTGATCATAAGGCTTTAAAATGATGGACTTTTAAACTCTGAAATAGTCAAGTTGAAGATGGAGCTAGGTAAGCAGATGGCACAGCTAATAGCAAGTTCCCTGGTGAGGTACTAGGAGGAACACTTCCCTTCCAGGCTCCCAGTTGTAAAAGCTGCCTTAGGGATAGGGTGGAACTTTATGTGATTTTCCAGTTTGCCATAGTTCCTTAGTGACCAAAAGGATGGAGCAGTGCAGGAAGTCATCCATGCACTGTGTGTGAACTAAAACAATGTTGAAACCATGAGGCAGTAAAGTAGGGTATCAGAACTCCCAGCAGCAATCCTGCTGGTTTGAGACTGCCTGGTTCATGTGGCTTCCTACCTAGCTCCATCACAAGTTCAGCACAGCATCAGAGATGGAATGACCCACTGGAGCTATGCAGACTCTGGAAGTGGGTGTGGCTTGTCAAAATGCCAATCAACCTGTTTATTGCAAGACTCTGCCACACTGAGAAGCAAGACTCCTTCCCTGAAACCTTATTCCTGCCTTTGATGTACTCCTCCTTAAATAAAGAATCAGGGCCAATTTTCAGTTGTTCAGTTCCAGCTCCCATCAGATGCGCTCCCCTTTTTATCTAATTTCTGGCTCCGGCTTTATATCTTACTATTTCAGACTTTTTAATGCCCAGGCTGCTCACACCTCCTGAGCAGGAACCTACCCTAGCAGGGTGCTGGTCACCCAGCATTAGAGCAGGCCCTCCTAACCTACTTGCGGAGGTCCACAAATCTCTGTGTGCCTGGATTCTCCTTCGCACAACTTGTTTTATTGCAGGGAGTTGTTCCAGGCTAGGCCAGAGGGAATCATAGCCTTAGATATCAAAGAGGAGCTCTTGGACTTGGATTTACTATCAGCCTGCCTGTCCCAGCAGCTACTTTGCTGAGTGGCAGCTGAAGGGATGGGTTTCTGGAGCATGCATTTAGGTAATCATATTCCTTAAATTCTCATAACTATTAGAGAACTCTATGGTGACAGGTTTGATTTTTTTTTTTTTAAAGGAGATGTTTGGAAATGAACATTGCCTTTTTTTAAAAATTAAAAACATTAAAACATCTCTATGTTTTGGTTTTAACTTTTCATTGTACATATTTGAGTAGGACACAAGATGTTTTGACATACAGAACAAAATAATTACTCCAGTCATACAAATTAACATATTCCTCATCTTCCAAGGTTTAATTTTTAATGAAGCTTGAGCAGGATGGATGATCTAATTTTTCTTAAAATAAATACTAGTCATTTACCATGTTAGCCTCATGCAATGATGCCTTTTGCTGGCCTGTTCTGTATATGTCATTTTTTCAGAATCTCCATAAGAGGGCAACTCAACCAGCACATCACTGAAACCTACTCCACTTATTTTTGCATAGCAAGCTAAGAACAACAGAAGACACAAGAATTTTTGTGTAAAAATTTCATTTCTTATATAAAGTATGTTCATGCCAAATTATGCCATTATACATGAGCTCTTATTATTATTTTTTTGCATTACAATTCTTAATATACCTTTATGCCACAATTTATCATATCTCTGATTGTATATAAGGTATGTTGACACCAAATTCACATCTTCATACATGTATTTTGTATAATGATGAGGGTCTCCTTCCACCATTCATGTATTCCCCTTCTCCCTCTCTTTCCCTCCCATCCCTATTCCCTAATCTTCCTCCCTTGCTCTCCCTCCCAACCCCATTTTGAATCAGATTAGAATACTGCATTAATATATTAATAATTCACAGACTTTTATCTAATGTGTACTCATGTACAGATTATTAAAAGTTTTAAAATGTAAATGACAAAAAATTCCATTTCTTTCAATATACATTCAAAGAAAGAACAAATAAAATGTAAAAACAATAAAATCCTTTGGTTCATAACGCATTTAAAGCCTACAAAGAAGTCTAATTATTCAAAGGAATTTCCTATCAATTGATTTCAATTAAACTAAATAGTATAGATAGTTTTTAACATTCTCCTTAACAGGAGTCGATCAGTAGACCATGTTACCTTTCTCAGGAATACCTTGACCCTCAAGCATTTGATCCATCTGTATTGTTATCATCCTTTATAATCCATGCCAACTGGGTCCAATCTTGAGATCCATTCAGTCCCTAATTTTTAACAAACCTATTGACTCCAACAGTAGGCCAGACATACATTTAAGAAGACAGTCTCAACCAGAATCCACTATAGAAGGCTTATGAATTAATATTCTGTGTACAGTTCAACAATACTTATGTGAGAGAAATGCAAGAAGATGCAGTATTTACCATTTTACCCCCTTCCACAAAGTATATTGAATTTATAACATACCAAGAAGCAGTTTGAAAGAACTGAAAAAGGATCATTATTTAAACCTAGGACAAGGAGAATACAGAAGAACTGATATTTTAGAAAGCAGACATTTCTAATATACCCAGGGTCCATGCCCTTCATACCCTCAGTAGGTTCAAATGCACAGTCTTCAGGAACAAACCCTGCAGCACGCAAAGCAAATCGACATGCCTTCCTGACCACTTCTTTTGCCTCATTTCGAAATTCTTCTAGGCGCTCTGTCACCTAGAGATTGATGAATATGCATAATTAGTGATATCAAAATATCAATAATAGGGAAAAAACTTAATCCTTATAGGCAAAATTTCTTACCTCTTGTAGTCTTGCGACTTGTGCAGCCTTGAACTCCTGCAGGGTGTAGGTGTGACATTTTTCAATATAATAAAGTCCCATAAAGCTCAATTGATAACACAATTCATTTATTTTAAGAAGAGCTGGTCGCAAATACTGAATGAAAATAAAAATTTATCATTGTTTAGTAAAAAAAAAAAGTTCTGTATTTTAAAAGTATAAAAGCTTGTGAATAGTAAAAATGGTTAATAAGGAAAATAAACAGCTCTGTATGTTAACTTGAGCTACAACTACAAAAAACATATATTACGTAGAAACACTTTTGAAAATTTTTTTGTAAACTAATTCTTTGAATTATCAGATTTAGTTTGTCAAATACCTTCTTTTTCAGTTTAAAAATACACACATGTCTTTCTGCTATTTAAAGAACAAAAATGAGAGCAAGTAAAAACAACTGGGCAATATCTTACATTTCATTAGTTTTTGCTAATAAAGATTCTTGTGTTACTTTAAGGACTTTACAATATCCAGTCACAACTATAACAGAAGGAAGCATCTATTAATCTAAAAGGCTATGACAGAAAACAAGGATAAATTTGACTTTAAATTTTAGTGGGCAACAAGTAGTTTTGGAAAACTTATGTTTCTTGAAAAGGTTAAACATAGAGTAACTAATGACCTAGAAATTTTATTCCTACAGGTATGACCAAGAGAAATAAAAAACATATGTTCAGACAAAAACTTATACATGATTGTTTATAACAACATTATTCATAATTGCCGAAAAGTGGAAACAGTCCAAATTTCCATTAATAGATGGGTGGACAAATAAATAGGCATAATAACACAAAGGAACAAACTGCCAATGAAAAGAAATGCTATAACATAGATGAACCTTAAAAACATTATGTTTTGTGAAAAGTGCCAGTCACAAAAAAAAAAAAAACAAATAAATAAACAAAAATATTGTGACTTCATTTAAAAGAAATGTAAAGGACAGGCAATATAGAGAAAAAAATTGATTACTGGTTACTTAAAGCCGGGGTGAGGGAGAAAAGAGGGATTGGGAAGAAAGAGGGAATGTGAATAATGGAGTTTTTCTTTTGAATAATGGACATGTTCTAAAATTGACTGTAGTGATTATTGGTAAATTCTGTGAATACACTAAAAATCATTGAATTATATACTTTATAAAGGTGAATTCTATGGTATGTAAATGTCATATCCATAAAGTTGTTATGAGAAAATATAGGCACAGGTGCCAAAAGAGTTGGTTATTGAAAAATATCTAAAAATAAAAATTTCTGGAACAACTTCTTTCAATATTTCTTTCTTCAACCCAGTTTAGAAGAATCAGCCACTCTAGTCAAGTAGTTGTAATTATAAGACTTGTGATAAGTGTGAGTTAGCATCTAACAGGTATTCAAACCATCTCAATGGTGTTAGCATAATTGCAGCCATCTTCCTTTTCCCCACCCCCACTTTATGAATACTGTTCTTATTCCCAAGAAATAGAAAATAGGGGGCAGCGGCGAGGCCTGTAGGGGGTGAAGACACCCTCCACAGCACCTTCCGGACATGCCTGTCCTTGTAACGTAAACACTTCAATGGGAGCCTTCCTTTTTAAAGAAAGCCTCATGGTGTACCATCTGTTTGCCTCACTCAAGGGAAGGATGAAAGCTCTACATAGGAACATGATGTGATGGATGAGACCTGTCATTATCAAGTATTCCGTCACTCTGAACAGACACTGAAAAGAGCTCTCATCTCCAAGAACCCAGCGCTTGTGTCACAGTATGAGAAATTAGATGCTAGGGAACAGCAATTAATGAAGGAAGCCTTCCAGCCAACCAGTGATCTTTATGGACCTATTATTTTGCAATCACAATCAGACTGGATAATCTCACATCCTGAGGCTCCTCAAGACTTTGAGCAGTTTTTCAGTAATCCCTACAGAAAGATACCCTCTCCAGAGAAGCACAGTATTTATTTACTGGCCATTGGATCTCTAGGAAACACCAGAGTTATCAGTGAAGAATATACTAAATGGCTCAAGGGCTACTGTGAAGCATTTTTCTATGGCATGAGTGTAAAACTCCTAGAACCGATTTCTGTTTCTGCCACACGGTGTTCTTTTAGAGTGAATGATCACACACGCAATTTACAAATTCATGCAGGAGTGGGGATATTCAGCTTTGCTAGATATGGCAGCGATTTCTATAGCTCACATTATAAAGGCACAGTGAAGAAGCTCCATAAAAAATCTTCCAATGACTATGCCATTTTTGATAACTACTTTATTCCTGAAATCACTAGTGTTTTGCTGCTGCGATCCTGTAAGACTTTATCCCATGAGATTGGGCACATATTTGGACTGCGACACTGCCAGTGGCTCACATGCCTGATGCAGGGCTCCAACCACTTGGAGGAAGCTGACCGTCGTCCTCTAAACCTGTGTCCTATCTGTCTACGCAAGTTGCAGTGTGCCATTGGCTTCAATATTGCAGAAAGATACAAAGCACAGGTGAGGTGGATTGATGATGCTGACACACCCAGAGCAACTCCGAAACCTAGTTGTGAAGATAATGTGCATTTACCGAAACCTGTAGAGGCCTTTCAGGATTGGAAAGAGTGGATAATGAAATGCCTTGCTGTTCTCCAAAAATGAGTACCTTCAGATAGGAGTAAATAAAATAAATATTTGCACATTATGCTCTCAAAAAAAAAAAAAAAAGAAAATAGCCTGAGATAATGCAGGTCTAGAGATATGCAGGTCTCTCCCTGCTCTCTCCTTGAGAAGATAAAGGTACATGCCTATTTCCTTGTTCCCCCTTCTGAGAGATAGGAAAACTGCCTTTCTCTGTTCCCAAGAAACAAACTTGCCTTCCACAAGATCAGAGGAAAACTAAACCTGCCCCTAGTGCATGGCCATGGTTCTAGTCTATAAAAGGTGACATTCAAGGGGGAGTTGCTACTGCTCTCCCTCCTTGCTGCTGCTATCCCTGTCTTTGTGCAGAGCAGCCTTGTCAGGCTCTTGACAATAAATCTGCTTCTTATCCCAGGTGTGTGTGATCAGTTCTGTGCCACTTTTCTTTCAAATGGGACTGCTATTTATGTCAATTGCAGCTTGAAAGCATGAAAACATTATAGTCCTCTAGAACCAATTCAAGAGGAGATATTATCAAAGCCAATGCACCACTGGTATGAATGTTGCACAGGAGATAATGATAACTTTAAGCACACAAAATAAGAGAGTGAATTTTGATGAGTGAGTTGATTTGGAGGCAATTCTAGGGAGAACTATTTTGCATGTTTAGTAACAAATTTATAATATGGATAGTATTCAAGACATGGTAAAAGGTAGTGAAATATCTTTAAATGAAGAAAGTAGATGTGTGTAAGGATTGAATTCTATATCAACGACTAGAATATTTTCCCACAACTCAGAATGCTGGATGAGATGGAGGACTCCAGATGGTATATATATTTGTTTAGCACTTATATCTGTGTTAAGTGTAGTCCTGAATATTCCTTGATTGTGTGACTAACATGGTGATAAGTCTTTCAGATTACTTTATGCAAAGTGAAGGAACTGACCGTAAAAAGAAAACTAAAGGCTTTTGATTGGAGAAAGTAGTGACTTAGTGTCATAGAAACAGACAGCTGAGGATACAGCACTCTTGAATGTGCCAGTAATAATTTCAGTTATTCCCAGGAGTCAAGTACAAAAATTCTAATATAAGTTGAAATTCACTGAGTGGAATTTGAATATGGCACACATTCTTTAGCAGTTTTTTTTCCTATCATCTCCTATCATTCAAAGTAAAAGTTAAATTTTCCCCAATTATCTGAATCCATGGTAAAGGAACCTATATGATCTACTGAGAGGTACTGGCCCATGAAAACAAGTACCAAATTATTTGGGGCCATTAAGTCCAGAAGGTTTTAGAGAAGAGGGGAGGTAATAGGGCTGCCAATCCACTGTTCTCAAAAGACATACAGCTTTCTGATCAACAACAAAGGGGATTACAAATCCAAGACTTTGAGCCTGTTTCTAATCAAAGGGGACCTGTACAACTCTCTTGTTGTACTTCTGCATTTTGCAACCATAGTTAAAATATAGAAATGCCACTGGATTGCCAAACTCCTAATTGACTAGACAGGTTAAAAATTGTGAATTCTCTTAAAAAGGTGAAATATTCCATTTCAGAGACTATCTATACTTATAATAGATTCACATTTTTTCTGTAATTCTTTAAATTACAATTAATAAATACATACAGGATGAACAATGAACAAATCTTTTTGTAGAGATTTTCGACATTCATTGATTTTCGTGGAGCGTACATTCTTCCTCCATACGCTAAAAGCCTTCCATTTCCGGAAAAGTGAAAATATGGGGATCTTAATGAGTTCTCTGTGATATAGGTATTCCTGTTCCCATCGATCAATTTCAATAAATTCAATCTCATCGTTGTAAACGTGTGTCACTGCCTTTTGGCTAATCGTATAGTAGTCATTTTTATTGATGTTCTCATAAGCTACAACTCTATGAAAAAATAGAGATTTAGACAAATGAATAAAGTGTTCAATACAAAGTCAAGCAATTGAAGTGATTTTGTTGTAAGGAGATAAATTTCTTGAAAATTATTAAAATTTAATACTATTTAAATTTTATAATTTAATATTATTTAAAATTGAACAAAATTCTAACAAACTACTTTCAGGTTGAATAATTTATTCAATAAAAGAAAGGGGAGCTTTGGTCTTATTATAAAGATTTCACATTCTTGGCAATATGCCCATATCAAAGTTACATGATTTTTACAATTAAAAAAACGTACTATAAATATTAAAACTTAATCATTCTGACTGAAAACAATTGGAGACTGGGTTTTTAATTTATTATTGATTCTTTGGAAATTATTCAATATTAATAGTATAAAATAGTTTTAAACTATCTAGTATTGACAGTTATGAAATATATGAAAGAAAATATAAATTAGATAAGAACTGACCCAAATTAAGATAAAATTTTTGCCTAAGTCATCACATACAAAATAATTATTATTCAGAAATTATTTAGCTCAAGTTATGTCTTTCTTTAATGATCATCAAGGGCATTCCTTAACTGTATATATAAAAGGAAACAGATCAAGTAAAGAAGAAAATCAAGAACAGTATAAAAACAGGAACTGGAGCAGAAGAAATAAAAAAAAGTAACAAGAACAGAAAGGTCTAATTCTCTAAAAAAATTTAAAATAAGAATTTACAGTAAAAAGACATTTCCTATAATATTAGCTATAACATTACATATTATATGCAACTTAATCAATATTAAAATAAATATAAAATATGATGTAGCACCTTATTAATATGCACTTAGGAATTTAGGAAAGTAATATTCCTGAAGATTCTCTGAGATTTTAGAATAAGATAAAGGTTAAATAATATACAAAACACAAATCCCAATTGTTTTTATGTTAAAACTATGCAAAAGTATGTATATTAGTAACACTCCAGTGCAAATGAATTGTTTCCCTTGTCTGTGTTCTCTTGCATTCCTTTGTTCTGTATTCTGAACCTGGAGTGAAATGATTGAAATTGCTGTATATAAACAAATTCACGTGCATTTGCATAGTCAGTTTTCAAAGGACTGGAACAAAATTCTTGGGTCCATTGTCAAAAAGCCAAGTACTGTTGGCATAAGTAATTTTAAAAATTAAAAAATTAATAAAACAGTAAGAATATTTTTGTAAATTGTGACATACAGAACCAAAACGAAAGCAAACCCAAGAGCTGTTCATGTGAGCCCACAAAGAAAACCAAGGGGCAGTGGTACTGTGGAGTGTGGGAGGGAGCTGATAACTAACTTTAAGGTTATTCTCCCATTTCAGAACTGCAATGGAAAACCTCTTTTGCTTTTACCTGACCCCATTAACTGACTTTTTTATGTATTCTAATTAACTCACACCAGAAATTTCTGCAAAAGTCAAGCATTGCATGATGTTCTAAGATACATGGAAAACATCAAAAATTTTTCCTTTTTTTCCTGTTCAATAGCTAAAGATATAAATAGGACGTTCTTGGAGTGATTCTCTCCAAAATGTTAAACTTCAAAACGTAACACTTGCCAGTGAAATTATAATCAACTTCAGATGTTTCATTAACATCAGACATCAAACCAACCTAGAAACTAGAATAACTGACCAACCCCTTGGTTCATGTCTGGAACACTTGCTCTGTGTGGTTTATCTTCTACTGACAGCCCTGCTAGAAGGCAGCAAATGTGATCCCTGATGTTGAATTTCAATTTGTTGCCCCTCAATGCCACTTAGAAATTATTTTATTTGTATTTTTCTTTCTTCTAAGACATTCATTCTCAAACCCCTATGCTTTTTTCCCTCTACACACCTCTACTGTTAACACAGTAAATGAACACATGTGAGTCTTTTTCAAAGATTAACTCATCAATATCAAAATCATCTGGAGTACTTATTAAGAATCTAGATGTCTGGGTCAAACACAGAATCTTCATGTATTGTGAGACTCCTGATTAATAAGCTGCCTGGGTGATTCTAATGTACAAAGTTTGTAACCACAAAACTGTATCTAAAAAGAAAGAAACAACAACAAAAACAGAACTAACAACCTGATCTCTATTTCGTACTGTCACTTAAAAAATCTACATACTATGTTTTCCTTCCTAGGTATATATCTCATGCTTTCCTCCAAAGAGAAGTTGTTGTTGTTGTTGTTTTCTAACTCTCCTAGTCTTCTGACTACCTTTCCTCTGTAACTGAAGTTGTGCAGAACTTCTCTCTTGTGTGTAGAAAGCTTTTCCTTGACCCTGCTGGATTTTGGTGCTTTGCTGTATATGCTCTGCCTCAGAGCACTTAGAAGTTTCTGGAGTTGAACCACCACTTCTAATGGTGACTGCCCATTCAGCATTTCTTGGCATTCAGGATTCCAACTTCAGCTGCCTCCTGGATAGTCGATTTGGATGTTTGCTCTGCTAGTCCTCTCTTTGACAAGATAATCAGAAACATTGATCTTCCCCTAAAACCTGAAGAGAGAACTTAAAAAAAATTCAAGAATAAAATTCCTACTTTGCTGCTAAAAAAAGATGCCTTTATGATACATTTACCTAAGCAGAGATCCTTGGCTAGATAATGAATCAGGCTAAGAAAAAGATCTTTAATAAAATTACATTTAACTACACTGTCTTCAAACTAGAAAAAATATCTATTATGATTTGTTGTTCAATGCAGGATCAAGGGGTCCCTTGTCTAATGATTTTACTATACAATCTCTATCAATCTGATATGAAACTTTAAGTCATCTTTAAGTCAACTTTTGTGTCTTGTTTGAAAGAATCCAATGGAGTGAGAAAATTACCTGGCTCTTGTGGTAAATCATAAATTGTCCTATTATTTTTCATTTCATGTACAAATCAAAGTGATTCCCTACTGGAAGTCTTCTTTGGGAGTTAATTCTTTGACTTTTTGCAAAACAATAAAACTTTATTGCGATCTGTTATTTCAGGCAGCAGCTCTATTATACCCTGCAGTGATGGGAAATACTTCTGTTTATCTTTAAACCAGTCCACCAGACCAATAAAGCTGAAACATGGTTTGCCTCATGGGACCCTTTTGCTCAGGAACTTTGAATAACCTCTGATTGCTTGTGTTGTTAAGTCCTAATTATTGTG